GATCTCAGGATTTCAGAGATTCTGGAGGAATCCAGAAAAGTATCATGACCATGTGGGGAAAGCAAGAGGTTTTTATGAGAAAGAAGGAGGGATTAATTCCATGATTTAGATAAAAAAGAAAAAAAATGCCATTAATTTGGTGCTGACCTGTTGAGCTGTTTTGGGTTCTTAGCTTATTAATGATTTTATTGGTACTTTCAAATGAATGTCCCTGACACGTATTAATTAATTTCACTGTCCTTGTGTGATCCAAATGTCAGTTGCTCCATTGAAATTTTATGAGCAACCGTTCGTAAAACGGTGGCTGGCTATGGCTCATTTCAAGGGTTTGTTAGTTGGAGAGGTAAATGGAACTTTGCAACGGAATCTTTTTTTTTTTTTAAGATTTTATTTATTTATTTGAGAGAGAGTGTGTGTGTGCACATGAGCAGGGGGGAGGAGCAGAGGGAGAGGGAGAAGCAGACTCCCACTGAGCAGGGAGCCTGATGTAGGACTCGATCCCAGAACCCTGAGATCATGACCTGAACTGAAGGCAGCTGCTTAACTGACTGAGCCACCCAGGCATCCCTAAACAAAGTCTCTTATGTGCAGAACTGTTATACAGTCCCACATGCGTTTTCAGGCCGGGAAATGCTCTCTAACCCTTCTATGCCACAGACCTTTGCACTCGGGCAGCCTGATGAGGGTATAGCGCTCTGATGAACCCTGCTTTGAATAATGTTTTTTTAATTAATTAATGAATTTTTTAAAAAGTTTTCTTTCTAAGTAATCTCCACACCCAACATAGGACTTGAACCTACTACCCTGAGATCAAGAGTCACCCGCTCTACCAACTCAGCCAGCCTGGTGCCCTGAACAGTGTTTTTAAATGCATAAATTAAACACATAGGATGGCAACCAATAACGCTGAAATAAAGTTATCAAAATATTTTTTAAAAATCTGTGGAGGGGGGCGCCTGGGTGGCTCAGTGGGTTAAAGCCTCTGCCTTCAGCTCAGGTCACGATCCCAGAGTCCTGGGATCAAGCCCCGCATCGGGCTTTCTGCTCAGCAGGGAGCCTGCTTCCTCCTCTCTCTGCCTGCCTCTCTGACTACTTGTAATCTCTGTCTATCAAATAAATAAATAAAATCTTTAAAAAAAAAAAAAATCTGTGGAGGAGGAAGGTATATCGTGCACTACCTCTTCGTGAAACAACAAGATCTGACAACCCCCAGAATTTCAAAGCAGTGCTGAGTACTCAGAGATGTCCATGGCAGCCGTACTGTGGTCGGCTGATTGTCCCTGGGGACGGACTCCTAAGTGCTTCTAGTATTCCTGTGGGGTTTTGCCTGTCTTCGTAACTGGGGGGAATGTTGTATTTCAATTAGAGAGCAAGGAGACTAAAGATCAAGCTCACAGAGTCCTGTGACTCTTATCCATGGATCCAAGGGTAAGAACACCTGGTCTGAAGATTTCTAGAAGAGACTGGAAATCCTTGTTTGTCTGCCTGCCAGGTGCCGCAGGGTGTGCCTCGAGGAAAGGGATGGCGAAGAGCCAGTGACAGGTGGGCACTTCCTCCACATCCTCATCCCATCTGTTCCGTTTGTCTGGGCTTCTTGGATCTTCTCTTCTCTTCCTGAGCTTTCCTGTTGCCCTGAAGTGAAATCAAAACTAGTCGCTTCTCTTTATCAGCAGCTGTTCTGTTTTGGTTTTGTTTGTTGGAGGGATTCTCTCTGGTTTGATTTCTAAACATAGTCTCTAGGGGCACCTGGGTGGCTCAGTCGGTTGAGCATCTGGATCTTGGCTGCTGCTGAGGTCATGATCTCAGAGTTCTGGGACTGAAACCCGAGGTGGGCTCCGCGCTTAGCGTGGAGTCCATTTGAGTATTCTCTCCCTCTTCCTCTGCCCTTCCCCCTGCTCCTTCTCTCTCTACAATAAATGGATGAACCTTTTAAAAAAACATATCATCTGGTTATAGAGGCTGAAACTGCTCATTATCTGAGGGTTCTTTCCCTCATGCTTCAGTTAAAACAGATAATTGGGCTTTAAATGTGGATAGAGGTTAAAAATACCAAACATCAGCCTCTGTCAAAGGTTGTGAAGTAGATTTAAAAAAAAAAAAATCCCCTCCCTCCACCTTTTTTAACCTCGTCTTTTCTTGGCTTCTCAAACACTGAATCCTCCTGGACGTCTCTTGCTTTCCTGCCTCTGTGTTGGTCCCTTCTGAATCCCTGTCCGTTTTGCTCTCTACCAACAGAGAAATACTCCCCATGTTAGGCTTTGGGCTTTCTCTCTTCATTTCTTCCCCCTGACAATCTCTCCCAATCCTTAGTCCATTTGATCTACCTCCTTCCCATGTTTCTTGTCCTTTTCAATGGATCCGCCCCACACCCCCATCCTTCCAGTTGTTCCGATTTCAGGGACACTCAGCAGAGATTCTTTGGTTACTTCCTGTGCCCTGAGCAATAGGTTAGGCACTAGGGCTACAATACTGAGCCAGTGCCTTCCTGCACCCCACCATCTATCAGGGAAAGTCAGCCTTGAACAAGTAATTTCAAGAGGGAATAGGTTGGAGGGGGAATAGCCAGTCATGCAAGGCTTGGTCATAAGGGAGAGCTAGCCTAGTTGGGGGGACGGAGGGGGTGCGGGTAGGGAAGTCTCTCAGAAAAAGTAATATTTAAATCAGGACCGTGTTGGTTAGTTGAGACATAGTAGCGTGGGAATGGTGACTGGGAAGATCTGCATGAAGTGTCTGGTGTGGCTTTGGTGTAAAGTTGAAAGAGGGCATTTGAGTTCAGTGAGGCTAAGAGGAGGCAGGACCGGACTGGTTGTAAACACTTGCCAACCATCTTAGGGGGCTGGGGTGGGCATCACCCTAAGGACACTGGGGAAGCCCGCAGGAGGTGTTCATCAAGCAGCAGAGAGCTAAGGTTTACATTGTTAAATGATTACCCCGAGTTCCGTATGGACCACAGTTGGGAGGGGCGAGAATCCAGTAAGGAGACCGTGGAAGATGGTTATGGTCGCCCCCTTAAGAGACCATGTGTCGACCCTACAGGAAAATCTCAGTCACCCTTGGCTCCTGCCTGTTCGTCCTTCACCTTCTCATCAAGCCCATCAAACACTAAATCTTTTCAGATTCGGTTCCTAAAACCGCATTGACTGCACGCCTCTTCTTATTCCCACTGACTGAATTCAGATTTCTCATTTACCTTCCTGAGGTGGCTCAGCCATGTCTATGCTCTACCGGCTTTTCACTTCCGGGTCTCCTTTTCCTCCTTCCGGTGGCAGGCAGTGGGCCTGCGGGTGAGCCCCTGGTGTACTCGGCTGCTCCCAAACGCACCAAAGAGCAGCCCAAGCCACGGTGTGGGCCCTCCTAGTGCCGTCTGTCCTTTCTGCCAAGACAAGCTCCTGTCCCTCCCGCCTCACCCCTCCTAGGCTCACCTCACAAATATCCAAGGATCCAGTTCGACAGGCTCCTTCCTCTACCTAGACCTCCTGTCCTCTCCAGCTCATCTACAGACACATTTCAAGTCCCTCCTCCTCCAATTTCCCATGCCCCCAAGCCTCAACCAGAATTAATCTCTCTTTCCTGTCCGTGCACAGTCGTACTTTGGATGATGCATTATCTATCTAATTAAACTTCCTCCTCCTGTTTCACTGCCTCATAGAGCCTGCCTCCCATTTGAATTATTATGTATGAGATAGGCTAGCTCTCCAGACTGTAAATTCCAGAGGACTAGGGATATTTGTCACAGTCATTTCCGTGCTGCCTGGCCTCTGCTTATCAGACCTCAACAAACGTTAAATTTGATTGCGGATGGCAGCGGGATGATTGGGAACCCCAAATCGTGGAAGTCTCCGGGTCACACACCCAACCCCATTCTAGCTGTGATAGTCATCAAATGCACAAGAACTAAAAAAAAAATTTTTTTTTACTAAGACTATTGCTTTTGTTTCTAAAATTGCTAAATGGGACAAGTCTCATTAGGAGAGACAGCTAAAGGTTTTAGTGAGGAGTGCCAGGTTCCCTGTTGGAAGTTGAAATTCATTCTTTAGGTATTTCTTGAGCCCTGATTATGTTCCCAGCACAGTGGAGGCATAGCCACGAATGAAACGGATCTCTTTACTGGGAGCATTTACAGGTGTGCAGTTTTTCATCAAGAGTTGCAGGATAATTTCCATTTCTGAAATGGGAAAAATAGTTCAGTCCTTTATTTAAATATTATGTGTCCGCTGGCTAACTCAGGAGTGAAAACCACACTGTCTTCACCTGCATACTGACCAGAAACAGGACAGTGGATGTATTGTTAATATGCATGGGAGTATCAAAGGACAAAACACATTTATTGGGATGCTTTTGTTGTATCTTATTTAAGTTTTGATTATTGTGATTATTTTATCCATTCCTTATCACCCACCTTGTTAAAATCCTCCCACAGGCAGGTTTTGAATGTTTCCTCGTATCATTTTATGCTTTGGGGCTGGGAAGCATCAGTAGATACTAAGCAATAATAATAGTATGTATTATTTTTATTTTCCAGTAGTAAAAAACTCATAATATTTGTTTCAAAATTAGTTCTATATACGCCCAACCTTGTCCTAGAAATGAGGTATGCGAAATGTAACTTATGGCCGAAAGTAGCTCGCAGAAGTGCTCTTGTATGTAAGAATTGCATGGCTATAGGAAAAAAAGGAATATATTACTAGAGGAAGTTGCTTGTGTAAGAAGCTCTGAATTTTTTTCAAAGCTAGTCAGAAACTGGACTTTAGGACATTTGCAGTGATTTTCTGAAATATGAGCAAAACCTGGAGAAAACCAGAGCATCTAAATTCTCACAGCTGGGAAGTTTAGCAGAGGGGACATGTAGGAGGCCTCTGGCAGAAAATGTAAATAATGAGGAACGTGTCTATTCGAAAAAAGTAGAGTATGTTCCAGATGTCTCTGTATGCATGTATAAAGATCTGTGGCTTCAAATTTGACTAGATTTTGTTTGTTTGTTTTTCAAAATCTTTTCTAAGAATTGCCCTGGTGGAAAATATTCCTGAAGGCCTTAACTATTCAGAAAATGCACCATTTCACTTATCACTTTTCCAAGGCTGGATGAACTTACTCAACATGGCCCAAAAGTCTGTTGACATAGTGTCTTCCCATTGGGATCTCAACCACAGTCATCCATCAGCATGTCAGGTAAGCTGCATCCTCTCTGTGTGTGATGATTTTACTTACGTGCATCTCCCGTGCCTTCATGTTTCTTGCCTTCACTTCTCTAGTTCAAGGTCTCTTTTTCAGTCTACCTCCCCCACCCACGGTACCCGTACATCATCGCGTTCATGTGTATGTGCCTTCGTTGATCATGTGTCTGCTCAGCTCCTGCTAGAATGCCAGGTTTTCAAGGGCAAACTCGTGTTTCGTCTGTGCATACTCTAGGCTCTCTGTTGGTTTGGACCATTTTGGGGGACGCTGTTCACACCATGGTATCCGTTGACAGCACGCCCCGGAATTCTGCTTTGCTCCACCTGCATGCTCATGGCATGAACCCCATGCCTGCTTGCTGAGGCATTTATGTGGTTAATATTTCGCCTGGAGGACCCAGAGCCAACTTTTTTTTTTTTTAATAGTGGAATCGAACTTCCCATTATACTTGTATATTCTTGGCTCTGTCCCGTTTGAGTGAAGAGGAGAGAGAAATGTGTTAATTCCAAGAACAGCCTTGAGAAGTCTGCTGAAATGATCTAAATGATTTCTGAACGAAGTGTCCTGGAGATAGGAAAGGGATCCTGGTTCTCTTTAGCAGTTTTTTGTTTGGTTTCTTGTAATTTGTGCTGGTATGATCACAAGAACACTAAGCTACCCAGGCTCTCCTACCCAAGTTTTCCAGCACTGGTCTTCACGTACATGTCCTATCTGGGTCACGGAGAAAATCAGTTCTGTCACCGTATATAAAATGTGTTGGCACTAAGCCTATAATCACTACCTCATTGGTGCTTTCAAACCTTTCATTCAGTTGTACTATTTTAAAATCAAAGGAAATTAGAAAATAGGTTTAAAAAAAAAACACCAAAACTCACAAAGGCCATACTGAAGAAGAAAAAAATTTACTAATTGTGTGCTGCACTTTTCTCCCTCCCCTGTTTACGCAGGTAGGTCAGGTGTTTGCTGCTGCATAGATCATTCCAAAATGTAGTGGGATCATGATTCTGGGTGGCATTGAGCAGAGAGAACTCATCTTGGATCCACATCGTGCTGTTTGGGGCAGGCTGGAAGGTCTGGGGGCCACCCGGACCTCTCTCTGCATATGTCTCTCATCATTCCATAAGCAAGCCTGAACTTGGGGTGGCTTAAGGGGGTGGTTATATCGTAAAAGGCCCAAAGCAGAAAGTATGAGGCCTTTTAAGATGTGGGCTCTTGGATCACAGCTGCTTCTATCCCATTCTATTGCTCAAAACAGGTCATGATTCAAGGTGGGAGGAGTAGCATCTATACAGGAGGAAGAAGAGTTGTTGGCAGGCCTCTTAGATGGAAATTATATGCCATAGTCCACTCTGGCCATCGCAATCCAGATCTCTTCCACTTACTAAATGCAATCCTCACCGCCCTCCCCCATTATAGCAAAGGCTCAAAGTTCAGGGTCTCCTCCTCTGCACCAGGTCTGAATCAGATTGAGCCTCCTTGTAGGGGCTTTTCTTGATTTAGAAACCTGTGAACTAGAAGACAAGTCCTATGTCTCCCAACACACACACTCCCGACCTCTAACGGGGAGGCAGGATAAGATAACCATAGTACACCCTTTGGTTTAAGTGGTGAGGTGGGGATGGAGAGCACAGACAAGTCCTGAGCCCATAGCAGTTTTGAAATCCAGCCCAGCCCAGCACGCCAGGCTTCCAAGCTCAGAGAACTGGGAATGCTGCTGGCCTAGGATCTAGTTCTGCTCCCTGGGTGTGCTTTCCTAATCTATGAAGCTCTTTGCTCCCCTCTGTGTTGTTCTTTCTTTTCCATAAGAAATAGCCTGTGTTTGCTTCCAACTGTCTTAGTTGACTTCCTGCTGGTAGAAACTGAGGCCCCAGAGGACCTCTGTTCATTTTAAAGCAGCTCTGTTCTCTCTTTTTTTTTTTTAACCAAAAGGTCCAATCCCTTCAGCCTTTGTAAACTTAATTTGTATCCAGTCATAAACCACTCTCGTAGCAAAAACCCTGACTCCAAACTCTTGGCAGTGGGTCTTCTCTGCTTTGGACTGTGATTCAGGATGCTTTAGGACCTGCCCCTTATAAAGTTTCTGGGAGCTCTTCATCTGGCCAAGGGGGCCTGTGAACCACCCGCCACTTTCAGTCTTTCTGAAACCTTGACAAAGAATCTTCCTGCCACGACTGCTGTTTTGTCTTTACCCTGAGGCTCTTTATTCCTTGGAGAGTATTTTGTTGAATCGAGAGTCTTCTAGATTCTCTACATTTTCTCATACTTCTGCATGAAAACAGAACAGTGCTTCTTACCATAGACCACTAACACTTTGATAACCTGCCTGAACCATCCTCTTAGCCAGGTCCCCAAACCCATTAGACACCCTTTCTGTTTTCTGCTTTAGGGCAGGTGGCAATGTTGCCAAGTAGCCCACTCTTACTCCCTCGAGGCTCCAGATCCATTTCTTTCCTGTTCCTCCAGCCTTGAGTGGGAATGAGATTCCAGCATCCACAATCACCCAATCCCAAAGACTGTGTCATGTGGCTTATGTTTTTGCTACACTAGATATGCTTCCTTAATCCGCTGTGGCAAGACGAGCAACTCCAAAACTTACCGAGTATTATTTCCTATGATTCCATGAGCAGGACACACAGTTTGTGCCCCAGTAGGTATTGGGTGGGACCACTCATGCGGTTGTGTTTGGCTGGGATAGTGGCTGAGTCTGGGCTGGCTCTCTGGGGACTGGCCAGCTCTCGTTCACCCCAAGTGGACGCTCATCACTCAATAAGCTAACCCTGGCTTTCTAGCGGGCTGCTGGATCCCCAGAGGATAAGAGTGAAAACTGCAGGACCTCTGAATTCCTGGGCTCCTAGAATATGACTTTGGCCGCATTCTGTTAGCCAGAGCAAGTTCACAAGGTCAGCAGCCCACGTCCACGGGAGGGGCAAGAGAGTCTAGGAGAAGCACGCCAGTTCAGCAAAGGGAGATTGTTGGCAGCAAACTCAAAACAGTTTACCATCGCAGGTTTGATGGTGTAAGTGGGAGATAGTTCAAGTTGTCTTTCCTTTGTCCGGGACAAGACCAGCTCATTCCACCGAATTTAGCAAGAACTGCAAGCTTTAGTTTGACTCACTGAGCCGTGCCCTATGCTGGGGCCTAGACCTGCACAGGTGTCCATGCTGTGTGGACCCCAGGCTGTCAACCTCATGGGCATCCCTGAAGAGCTATGGGGTGCCAAACACACAGGGGGAAGATTGGCATTTACGCTTGGACTTGGTGACCCAGTAGAACTCTTTTCTGAAATGCGGTGCCCCCGGAATGATGGATTTTTCTCCCCAGCTACAAAGTGATCTTTGCTAACAGGCTTTATTTTTCCCAGTGACTACTATTTCTCTCTGACTCTGCCCTCAATCTCGGTTCGCTTCCAGGATTTCTGTAATCAGTCTAGACTGGGAGTTGAAGCTTGGGGGTCCCAGGGAACCTACAGTATTGCTCAGGGCAGCCATTAAATCCATTTGCAGGATTCAGGTTGATTCTGGGACTGAGTCACTAAGCGAAGCATCTGGTAGTCCAGGCAGGTGGCTCTGGGGACTGCGGCATGGTAGTTCAAACCAGTGGAGCAGGGGCGCTCACATGGCTTTACAGATAAGTAGAGTCCCTGGATGAAGGGTATAGATGGACATCAGTCTCAAAAGCTACCTGAGGACTTCCGGCCTCTCCTTGCTTTTACCCTAATCCTTCCTGGGTGAGCCAAACTCTTGCCACTCAACATTTGGCCCTGGGACCAGAAGCATCTTTATTCCCTGGAATCTTATGAGAAATGCAGATTCTCAGGATTCATCCCAGCCCTACCTGATTCAGGATCTCCATTTCAACGAGATCCCAAGCTGATTCCTATGCTCAGAAATGTTTGAAATGTTCTGAACTATCCCCTTTGGCCATAAGGCTAGCCAGCCCTCCTCGGCACTCATGCTATGGGGTAGAAGATGGGCCACAGAAAGGCTGGGTCCTAGTTCATGGTCAGAATTCTGTTCTGCCCAGGGAGCATGAATGAGGGTCTGGGTCTGCTTTGAATAACAGTGCCAGGTGTGACGCTGGGTGCGTCCTAGGTGCTCAGGAGGTATTTGCCCAATACTCGAATGGATTGTGTCAAACAAAACAGAGCCAGACACTGGTTAATGTTCTAAGGACAGATTTGAAACGGGATGTATTTTCGCAAAAGGGAAGAGGGCCCGAGTGAACTGAACTTCAGAACTCAGATTTATATAGAGATGATGGAACATTTTTTTAGGGAGAATGAGGGAATGGGGTGGGGGACAGCAGGGGCTTAAAGGGGACCAGGGAAGTAGAGGTTTATAAAAAGTGGGGAGGGGGGTTGGCCCATAGGAAGCCCATCTGGGGTTTGCTAACTGGTGCTTATCAAAGTTAGGTTCCTCGCCTCCTACCGAGACTGGGAGACAGAGGCCCTCTGGTCAGGTGTTGGCGGGAACAAACAGCAACTTCTTTTGGGCCTTTTTGAGCTTTCTGAAGTGGGCACCTTAAGGGGGCGGGGTCATCCTGGGGCGTGGCCTTGAGCTGTTAAAAACTGTTAGCATTTTGTTCAGGCCTTTTAAATGAGGGAGGGGAGGGACCTCTGGGCGGGATGGATGAGATCCTTTGTGCTGAGAGCCCACAGTTTTTACAAAGCAAGGTCGAGCCCAGGGGAAGAAGAGGGCTCAGAGGGAGCCTGGCTGGAGTTCGGTCAAGAAGAGAATATCTGTAGGTCGCGTGGCTTCAGGTGGGCATTACTCTTGTGGAAAGAAGACTGCGCCTGGAAGCTTTGTTCGGGTCACTCCAACAACCTGCCTCCTGGCCACAATGGAATTTTTCAATTTACTGCCAATAACCTTGCTGTGATTGAGCTCACACTCACCCCTGCAGGAAGGAGCCCGGTTAGAACTGAGGTCTTCTGGTAGGGCCCTAGGGCTCCCTCCAAGGAGACGCCTCTTGGCTGCCCCTCGGACTTCTTGGAC